TTGCTTTGTTTTGAGTGGGTGTTATTAGAATAGATTGGGCACAACTTAAGGAGCTTGAATCTCATTTTTGGGATGATTTGGTGAAGTTTTGAGGTGGTTTGAATTGAAAATTCGGTAAAAACTGAACATGAAAAAAATGATATGTGTATCATACTGTGTATCACATATATATCATATTTGTATCTATTGTGCATCACATGTATATCCATGTATATCTGTGTGTGAGATACATGCGTGATACATGTTTGATACATGTGTCGCAGAAAACCTTTTTGAACTCGATTTACTTACGAATTTTGATACAAAACCAGTCCAAATCACCTCCAATCTTCCTCAAATTTTGTATATTGACTTATCTATATATTTTTAATGAATTTCAAATATACCCATTGAAAAAGTTCCTTTTTTGTTTAGATTTTTGGAATATTGTATATATTTTTTGTATTTCATCATAGCTGATAGTCGAGACACACTCCATGATGATATTAACAAATTTCACTAGCATTCCAAACTCCAACAAGACCATTCGCAGAAAATCCCACTCGACAGTATCATATGCTTTCCTGATGTCTACTTTCACTAGACACCTGGGGGCATTCCTTTTTCTATTATAACCTTTGACTAATTCATGGGCCACAATGACATTATCCAAGATGTTCCTTCCTGCAATAAAAACTGGTTGCGATGGCCGTACAATTTTGTCCACCGCTAGTTTAAGTCTGGTAGTGATCACCTTGGCTATCAGTTTATACAATGTTGTGCAACATGCAATAAGCCTAAATTCCTTGACATAGGTGGGGTTTGAAAATTTTGGCACTTAAGTAATGATTGTGTAGTTGATCTCTTTAAGGATTTTACCAGTCTCAAAGAATTGTAGTGTAGCCTTACTAACATCTTTCTCCCACTATGTCCCAATTTGCTTTGAAGAATTCAACATGGAATTCCCCCTCCCCTTCCCCCCTTCCCCCGAGGGGAGGGGGGCTTTGTCAGCTGGTAAATCATTCAGAGCCTGAAGTATTTCCTCTTTCATCACTAGCTTGATCAGACCTTGTTGATCCTCCTTATTGAGGCAATATCCATCCTTTGCTATGGTACTGTTTAGGCATGACATTTCACTGGCCTTCGTACCCAATAACTCATGGAAGATTTGAATGAACTCTTGCTGAACTTATGCCTAATCAGTTACTAGTAAAAATGTTGGTCAAACTAAAAGTCTTATAAACTGAAAAATCATAAGTTGGGGTGACTAACTTATGACTTATGTCTGATTTTAGCTTATAAGCACTTGGAGCGTCTACCAAACGCGTAGATAAGTTAAAAGGTGCTTATAAGCCAGTTTAATAGCTTATAAGCTTAGTCAAACTCCCTCTTAGAGGGTGTTTGGCTAAGCTTATAAGCTGGTCAAACTAGCTTATAAGCACTTTTCGGCTTATCTACGCGTTTGGTAAAGTTAAAGTGCTTATAAGCCATGTGCTTATAAGTCAAAAACAAGCCAAAAGCCATAAGCTGGTCACCCCAACTTATGAATTTTTAGCTTATAAGCACTTTAAGTTTGACCAAGATTTTTACTATTTTATCCTTAAAATATTTCTTTTTAGAACAAAACTCCTACATCGATACTTACTGCCTCAAGTATTTTTTCAACCTACCCCCCTCCCCCCGCCTCTTCAAGTTTGCAATTCTAATTGACTATTTAAGATAAGCAAATTCTTTATTACTTTGCATATTTGTATCTATGTGGTTGTGTATTAATCTTTGAACTGTATGTAATAGATGAGAATTTATCAACTTTTAAGTGTTGTGGTGATGAAGATAGTGTTTGTTTCTCTTCAAATATTTTGTCCTATTTAGGTTTATTTTGTATTGAGAAACTTTGTCAATTTATTAATTATTATAACTTATGATTATATGCTTATCATTAAATAAAATATATCTATCATAAAAATTATCTTATCTAAGCACAGTTGTATTTAAAATAAAATAACAAATAGAATATTTTGTATTTTGAATCGATATGGCATCTAAAATTTTGAAGAAATTACGCCCTTATAAGTGTAAACATTTCTAAGGTTATTTAAGTCATTTTAATAGAAAAAGAGCTTATCATCACTTTTTAATCAATTACTCCAGCAACTTATTATCAATTTCAGCACTTGTATCTAAACACGTAACTGCTTATTTATTAAAGGAAAACTTACACAAATGTCCCAAATAAATCTCAACTTACCAATCTCTAGCCATTAATTATAGACTTACCAAAACTAGCTAACAAAAATTGAAAAACCAAATAATAGGGTTCTTTCTCTCAAAGAATCACATGCAAAAATTACCTTATATATTTTTAAGCGTATATAAGGTAACAATACTAGATACAAGACGGAAAGGAAATTTAAATAGTATGACACAACATTGTCACTAGCTAACTTAGATAAAAAACCTACCAGACTAGTCTCACAACGGTACGAAGTAAGGCAAAGATTCAACTACCTCCTAACCTATAACGCTAATACTCGACCTCCACATCTTCCTATATCAATTGTCATTTCCTCGAAAATCTAAAGCCTCGCCATGTCCTGCCTCATCACCTCTCCTCAATACTTCTTCGGCCGCCCTCTACCTCTTCTTGTGCCCTCCACAACCAGTCGCTCACACCTCCTTACCGGGGCAACTAAGCTCCTCCTCTGTACATGCCCGAACTATCTAAGCTTCGCTTCGTGCATCTTGTCATCGATGGGAGCCACACGCACCTTCTCCCGAATATCATTGTTCATACTCTTATCCATCCTAGTGTGCCCGCACACCCACCTCAACATCCTCATCTCTGCTACTTTCATATTCTGGATATGTGAGTTTTTAACAGGCCAACACTCAGCCCCGTACGTACATCATGGCCGGTCTAACTACCGCATTATAGAACTTACCTTTGAGTATCGGTGGAACTCTGTTGTCACACAGGACTCCAGATTCTAACCTCCACTTAATCGATTTTATCCCAATGTGGTGTGTGACATCCTCGTCGATCTCCCCTCCCCCTGAATAACCGACCCAAGGTACTTGAAGTTGCCTCTACTTGGGATGACCTGTGAGTCAAGCCTCACATCCACGCCCAGTTCCCCCCGCTCAGTGCTGAATTTACACTCTAGGTATTCCGTCTTCGTCCTGCTCAGCTTGAAACCCTTAGACTCAAGAGCCTGTCTCCAAACCTCTAGCCTCTCGTTAACACCAACTTGCGGCTCATTAATCAGAACTATGTCATCGGCGAATAGCATGCACCATGACACCTTCCCTTGAATATGGTGTGTTAACGCTTCCATCACCGGGGCGAACAAGAAAGGAAACCCAAATTTGAAACGGGAGAAATGAATACAATAAATCCGCTTTGTCCTCTTCTTTTAAGAGACACGAAGAATCTCTGTGGATGGGATCAGTGCTAGTAGTTGTGATAGTATTAATGCAACGAAGGAACGACAAGTCATAGAGACTATAGTGATATAGTATATAGGTAGGTTATAAGAGAGAAAGAGAGACATGTTCAGATGGTAAAACTGACAACTACTGAAAATATGTGGGCTTTTAAAACTGATCAGGAGAAAGGCAGCGTAAGAAATGGCAGAAGAGAAGACGAACTGGTCAATGCTAATCCACAACATAAACTACCAGATTCAGCCGTTTCATTTTGGGTAAAACGATTTGCCCTCTTTTTCTTTCTGTTTTGTACCTCTCATTCTCTGACGTTATATTTAATTAATTTGTCTCTCCCCTCTTCATGCATGCTAGTAGAATTAGACTTATTGAACTAAAAAGTGGTAGGGCCGTGCCCGAAGCATTGTACGTTCAAATAAGGTTCGGGAAAGGTCCTCCTCCAATGCTCCAATGGAGTAATGATGTAGACAGTCTACCCAGACGCAAGCATCAATGACTAATTTCACAGTACGAACTCATGACCTATAAATCACACAAAGATAATTTTACCAATTCTCCTAACACTAACCTTCAGAATTATACTTATTGAACTGAATTCACATAAAATGCAATCTTTATGGAACATGTGGAAAAACTTTGCACGTGGCTATAAGAGGGCAAAAACGGAATTTTCATGGGTGCACGCGAAATATAACAGTGATTTCTTGTCAGGGTACAGAAGGGGAGCGTTAGCATAACTGGTAAATTTTTTGCTATGTGACCAGAAGGTCACGAGTTCGAGTAATGTAAGACTGTATATAATAGACTCTTGTGGTACTACCCTTCTTCGGACCTTGTGTATAACGGGAGCTTAGTGCACCGGGCTGTCTTTTTTCTTATCAGGTATGCTTTATTTTTTGGTTTTATATATAGCCAAAAAATATCAACAAACGGATTGCTTTGTTTTGTATTTTAAGTGTGTTTAATAGTCGAAACGATGTCATTTTTTGGGAAAAAAATACTCCTCCAATTGGTGACTAAAAACTATTTTTACAAAATTTATATATTAAAGATTAATAATAATATTAATAAAATAAATTGTATTTTGATTAAATTTATATATGAAAGATTGATAAGAGTAATAATGTCTAAATGATGATTTGAGCAAATTAAATAATATGAAATTTAATTTAATTTAAAATAGTTATAAAAGAATAATTTCCGTCCGTATTCATCTTCAATTTGGTGGAGACCAACCACCAAGATATGACTTCCTTGTGAAAAATATTTTGCAATAAAATAACTTCCGTCATACTTAAATTAAATTCTTATTGAGTTTAAAGCTTTTAATAACTCGTAAATAAAAGTCAATATTTTTGATGTAATTTAACCTATTATCACTAGAACTTTCTATTAGTCATCATTTTACAGATTATTAATCCAGCTTAATTACCGTATGAAATTATTTACAATTAGTTTTAGTGACTTTATAATTTAATAGTTTTCACACCTTTTTTTGTGAAATATTTTAAATGATCAGTATATAAAAGAGTCGTATCTTTTTAATACCTAACCTCACTGCTCTCTAGCTACTCATTGTAAAAAGGTATCCACTCATCCGTCGCACCTCACAACACAAACACACAGATTCTTTCATCTTTTCTCGCCGCTTCAAATTCTCAATTCTTCCTTTATTTAGCAGTCCATGGAGTTGTCATCAGTTCAACAACCACCAGCTCTTAACCAACACCGACAGGAGCAAGAGCAAGATGATGAGGCTGCAGCAAGTTTTAGCAGATCACTGGTGAAAATGCATGATAAGGAACAAGAAACAGGGCGTAACCGTTACTACATGATTTTGTTGGGAATCAACTACATGTGTCTCTTTGTTGGTTCTGTCTCATCAAGTTTGCTTTCAAAATTCTACTTCAATCACAAAGGTGGCAGCAGATGGGTTTCCACTTGGGTACAATCTGCTGGCTTTCCTCTTCTTCTCTTCCCAATTTACCTCTTCAAAATTTGTACCGATAGAAAACCATTCACTGGCTTCACCCCTAAAATCTTGTGCCTCTCCATTTGCATCGGCTTTTTTTTAGGTATCAACAACCTTCTCTTTTCTTGGGGAAATTCTTATCTTCCCGTTTCGACAAATTCTCTTGTTTTGTCTACTCAGCTAGCCTTCACTCTCATCACTTCCGTGATTATCGTCAAGCAAAAAATCACGTTTGCAAATTTGAACTGCGTGATTCTACTTACTGTTAGTTCAGTGCTCTTAGCCTTAGGTTCAAGCCACGACAAGCCACGTGGCTTGACAAAGGGAAAATACTTTATAGGATTTTTCTCAACTGTGGGTGCGGGATTGTTATTCGCTCTTTATCTCCCAATCATGGAGAAGATATACCGAAAAGTTTACTGCTACGCTATGGTTGTAGAAATGCAGCTGGTGATGGAGATGGCGGCGACGGCGTTAGCTACCGTCGGAATGGCGGCAGGCGGCGGTTTCTCGGAGATGAAGACGGAGAGCATAAAAGTGTTCGATTTGGGTGCAAAGGCTTACTGGCTGACGGTGGGGTTTAATGTGGTGACGTGGCAGTTGTGCTTCATGGGTACTGCCGGAATGGTGTTCTTAACGACGTCGTTGGCCGGAGGTGTGTGCATGACGGCGTTAATGGGGATAAACGTGTTGGGAGGGGTGTTAGTTTACGGTGATCATTTTGGTGGACTTAAGGCAGTTTCCACTTTACTCTGCCTTTGGGGATTTTGTTCTTATATTTACGGCATTTATATCAAAACGAAAGAGCAAGAAAACCAGATGGACAGTTCAAATTCCAGAAAGAAGATGAGTATTGATCATCAACCTCATCAGTTCATGGAACTTGCAGAAGTTGTAACGCACAACTCCTGACCCTCATGCTGGTCACGTGCCAACTCTCTCTCTCATTGTTTTTGTTTTATTCGTTTTAAGGTGGTGTGTTGATAAAAAAAAATGTTTTAGGGTGAAGTCGTAATATTAAGTAGGGGCATCAATGAGTCAGTGACAAGTGTTTGTACTCATGTTAATTAATGGAAAAGTGAGGACTAAAAACTAAACTAATTGTTTTGGCTTATAACCAAGAAACAAGAAAAAAAATGAAAATATTGTTTCTTCTTTTGGTTGTTCATTGGTCTTATCACCAGCATAAATGACATCGCATCCACTTCCATGAGTTAAACAAAGGGACAAATTAAAGAGGATAGATATGTTTGAGGTGTAAGTTTATACTTATAGTGTAAGTTTATACTTATATGACAATTAAGTTTAAACTTGGGGGTCACTTCTTTTTTATTTTCCATGACATGATAAATTCAAACAATATATACTCTTCGTTTTATTTTATTTGGCGTAAGTTGACTTAGCATAAAATTTGATGTTAGAAAAAGATTTTTTTTAGAATTTTTAGTCTTAAATAATTTATAATATAATTTTAAATTCGCGCTCTTAAATATGTCATAATATTTATATAACTAAAAAAGCTTTTCAATAAAAAATATTGAAAGATATCATTCGTTTCGGAATAGGCTAATGAATAAATAGTGTCTAAGTAAAATAAAACCTACTTAGTATCACATGTGATAATCAACTCAAAAGATCCTAATTTGCACATCCAGGATTAACCCTTTAATCATTGCGCACAAGTTACAAATGCAAGCTCCAAATCCAAATATTTTAAATGATTTTGGAGACACACAATACTTTAATTTAATCATCATTAGTAATTAAGTACTACATTTTAATGGAATAAAACAAGTGGCACTTACATTTTTAAAAATTAAGGGGCAAGTGTTGCATCAACTTTGATCTTCCCTATCACGTTAAATATGTCATCTCTCCACGTCATTAAACATCGAAGAGTTACTTATTGCTTCTTGTTGTTGTTTTTTTTCTCTAAAGAAAAGAATCAATTTTGAAAAACAAACTGAAAAAAGGAAAGAAGTTTTAACAATTGTACGAACGAGCCTGGGTTATTCGGGAAAAAAGAAGAAATAACTGGTAATTGAAAAATAGCAGCAATTTCAAAAGTCATCGAAATTTAGTCACTTTTTTTATGTAAAGATAAAATCTGAAACAAAATATCCTTAAAAATCCGGAAAAATCTAACATAATATGCTAGAGTTCGAATTTTTTACATGAGATTCCAACATAATGTGCTGGAGTTCCAACATAATATCTGGAAATTTATACGCAGGAGCTCCATAGTATATTATGCTGTAACTTTTCGTGTTTCAACAAAACAATGGCTATTTTTCGATGACTTTGCAAACGTTGGCTATTTTTGATTACCAGTCTGAAAATTGACTGGCCCGTGCTATTTTTACGGCTATTTTGTAAGAGAATAGACATCATCAACAACAGCAACAACAACCCAGTATAATTCCACTTAGTGAGGTCTGGGGAGGGTAGTGTGTACGCATACCTTACCCCTACCCTGGAGTAGAGAGGCTGTTTCCAGTAGACCCTCGGCATCCTTCCCTCCAAGAACTTCCCACCTTGCTCTTGGGGAGACTCGAACTCACAACCTTTTGGTTGGAAGTGGAGGTTGCTTGCCATAAGAACAAACTAGTATTTTATTTAACTCAGTTCTCTCCTAGCTATTTTATAATAATATAGACTCGCGTAAGTCCATACAGGTGATTATTTGCAGATTATGTACGTGGTTTATTTATTGTTTCGTGCTTCCTGCTTTGGACTACTTGATTAACGAGGGAACAAGTACTGGACTTATATGCGCTAATTATGAATACAGAATACTAATTCATTAGCTATATATGCTAAAAAACGAAATGAAGATAATATGGTTTGTGATTGTGAGGAACGTGATTTTCCACCCTAATTATTTTTTGAATCTGCTGATATAGTCCCTATCCACTATTTCTAACACAACCTTTTCTTTTTCTTTTTTCCCGTCTCATAACGCAATTAATACTTCAAATGTTCAGTTGGCATGACATACGTGCCCTTAATGATCACTTAAACCATTTTTTGTGTCTAAAGTGGTGGATTGCCCTTATTTTTCTTTGCTCTGTCATAGAAGGGCAGTTTAGTATGCCTGCTCTTTTTGTCCAACACAATTAAGACACGTGTTTGGATATTATTCGATTATATATTATATCTATGATTCTATATAACAATAAAAAGAGCCATTTTCACTATGAAAACATTATATTGTGCATGCACTTAATAAAGCTTTAATTAAATTAGGACGACATATAAAAATTGTTTTTCTTAAAGCAGTATAGCAAATTGTACAAATCGGCAGGGGTGTGTTCTTTGATTTATATTGGGAAGGTAGCATCTGACATGAACTAATGTTTATGATCAAATGAAGACATTGCTCACTCTTTTGGACAGGTAAGACAAATATATGGATTTGTCGTTTATTCGTGGGAAAAAGATATTTCTCATTTTACCAATAGGATTAGGTCATTTCTTTATGCAGACACTTTTAATCAAAACGTCGTTACTTGGCCATTAAGATGAAGATTAATTGAGACTTGGCTCTTAATAAGGTGTATGATGATATGATTGCATTTACTCTCTTCTTTTTTTTATTGCTTTTAATCTTGTCTCATCTGATGCACAAACTTCTCTTTTTCATTTCGAACAGTAAGTAACCCTTTATTGCTCCATTGGCTAAACTTTTCTTCTCATAAGATTTCTTTTAAAGAAGATAGCCGGCAGGGGCAGCCAAACAACTGTTAAAAAGAATGAAGAAACAAAAATGTAAGCAATTACAATTAAAAGACTGAAAGCAACTTGTAATTGTGGTGGATTGTCTTCTGTTCTCTCTCTTTTTTTCACTTCATTTCTTAGTGTTAAAGTACTCATGTCGTGACGAAAAAGCATTACTCTCGATAAGTATGCATTTATTATGATCGCCTATTAGTGACTTGTTGCGGAAGAGCATGGGTTAACTAACACACAATCACACACAAAGCAAATAGAGAAGAAAAATCAACACAAGAATTTAACGAGGTTCGGCTAAGCCTAATCCTCGGGGCAAAAGCAGACAGAATTTTCCGCTATGAATGAGAAGAAAAGCACAACACAATCTCTAGAATCCCCAACTAAATCACTATATATAGATCCCAAATAGTCCCAAACCTATAAGAGAAAGGTTTCCCAATTTGACAAAGATAATAGTTTTTCTTTTCCCAAATCTTTTAGGACAATGGATTTTCATAAACCTATAGGGATTATGGGTTTCCTAAAAATACAAGGAAATAATTCAAGCCATAAAATAACAAATCTTCCATTTGGCTTGAATTCTCTTCATCAACAGGAATAACGCCTCTCTACCTTGTCCTCAGCCCTCGTGAGGGCTCTATTGAGTACTGCACATACCAATCAAGTCTAGGCAATGCCTAAACATGTTGGTTGCGACTGTCTTGGTCATCATATCAGTTGGATTATCATGTGTAGACACTTTCTCCATATTAACAACTCCTTTTGATATAATATCTCCAATAAAGTGATATCTGACTTCAATATGCTTCGTCTGCTCATGAAACATCTGATTCTTAGTAAGATGAGTAGCACTCTGACTGTCACAAACCACTAATATCTTCTTCTAAGTTAGTCTAAGATACTTACCATGCCTTGTAGCCAAATAGCCTCTTTCATTTCTTCCGTAGTTGCCATATAGTCAGCTTCTGTGGCAGACAAAGCAACAACAGACTGCAAAGTCGCCTTCTAACTGATGACACTACCAGAAAGAGTAAAGATATAACCTATCAGAGATTTTCTCTTATCTAAGTGCCCTGATAATCTGAATCGACATAGCCAACTTATAAGGATTCACTCAACTTGTCTTTATAAAAAGCCAAGCCTACGTCTACAGTACCCTTCGAATATTTCAAGATCCACTTCATCGACTACCAATGTTCTTTATTGGGACACGTCATGTACTACTCACAACACTAACAACATGTAAGATGTTACGGCGAGTGCAAACCATAGCATACATAATGCTACCTACAACACTCGAATATGAAACACTAGACATCTGCTCCATCTCCTCGTATGTTTTTGGTGACATGTATGCAGACAACTTGAAATGGGAAGCAAAAGAACAAACATAGATTTAGCACCTGCCATATTAAATCTCTTGAGTACCTTCTCAATATAGGACCGTTGGGTCAGCATCAGCTTTCCAACCCTTGTATCTCGAGTAATCTCCATACCCAATATCTTCTTTGCAGCACCAAAATCCTTCATCTCAAACTCCTCACCTAGCTGCTTCTTCAATCGAGTAATATGTGACATGCTTTTAGCAGCAATAAGGATGCCATCGACATATAACAACAAATATACATGAGAACCATCTTCAAACTTTTTGTAATACACACAACTATCATATGCAATTCGAGAAAATATATTTTGAATCATGAGTGTATCAAATCTTTTATACCACTACCTAGGCGACTGTTTTAGACCATATAAATATTTCTTAAGCAAGCAAACATGATTTTTCTTATCGTGAGTAATGAATTCCTCGGATTGACTTATATAAATCTGCTCATCCAACACACCGTGCAAGAATGCAATTTTCACATCCAAATGTTCTAGCTCTAAGTTAGAAGAGCCACCAAAGCTAGTAAGACCCTGATAGAACTATGCTTTATCACTGGAGGAGAACACTTCATTGTAATCTATATCCTCCCTCTATGTAAAACCTTTAGCTACTAATATTGCCTTGTACCTTGATACTTCAACCCCTAGATCGCCCTCTTTTCTTTTGAAAATCCATTTGCAGTCTAGTACCCCCTGTCTCTTTGGTAATAGAACAAGCTTCCATGTCTGATTCTTATGAAGAGACTCAATCTCTTCACTCATAGCACCAACCCACTGATCTGCTTATGTACTAGAAATAGCTTCTTTATAGCTATTAGGCTCAAGCACATCAATGGTCTCTGCAACTGACAAAGCAAACTCCACAAAATTTGCATATCCAGGAAAATTACCATCAGCTACGTTTGCAATCTTTGTGGTGGATTGATCACTCTCTTCTCTCTGCCTGTTGCAATGCTATGTGGTTGTTGTTGCGCAGGTG